TGAGAGGATAAACATTGCTTGATGTTCAACTTGCTTGTTAGACTTTTAGTCATGCACAATTACTTCAACTTCAACCATAAAGCAGCTACTGAATTCTCCTTCAAAAAGTCTTGAAAAATAGTATTTGATAGATGAAAATGAAAGTGAGAAACTTTCTTTTTATCCTTTCGTAATTTCACCTCCACGATCAAAGTTCCGGGCATCTTATCAATTCCCAACAACGTATCATCCAAATCCGGCTGTGCGAGTACTACACATATTTTAAGTGCTTCGATCCAAAAGAGAAATGTCATACATCATGGAAGCCATCACGAGCAAAAAAAACCTCGAACAAACCAAACCATGTGCTTATGCGGAACTGTTGAATCTAGGCTCTAATACCACTTGTTAGGATTGATACCACTTGTTGTGAAACTAAGCACCAGATTGAGATGTTGAAATTATATGGCACAATAATAAAGTATTTGATCAAGAAAAAGAACAATAAAGACAAAAAATATGGCAGAAAAATTAGAAGATTTTATTGACTTAAGAATAATAGAGAAGAGAGAAAATTACAATGAATCCTATAATTCTAGTAATCTATTTTCTTACATTATAAAATTGTATAAAAGAGTCTAATATTTATATGGATCATGTAGGGACGTCCAAACCCTTTGGTAGAGTTGTCAATGAAATAGAATGCCAAAAAACCTAGTCCAAAACGAAGTAGGAAGGAAAATAGTGAAAAACTAGAACAGCACAAGTGGCACCGCAGCGCCTAGCGACGGGCAATCCGATGAGTTTTTTTAATTTTTTCCAAATTTTTTTCTCTATCTGAATTCTTCTTCAAATCCAATATCAATTTCCAACTTTTAATAAGTTTCCAAAATAGAACTTCAACTTGACATATGACTCCAATAGCATTCCAAACTTGAATTCTCCTTGATGTGTACTTCAATTAGAATTCTTCCATATTTCAAACACTTCAACAAAGGAATTCTGGTCACACCCAAATTTCAACAATTGCTGAGTAGTGAATAATATTGTTCATAGCATTCAGTTGTGCATTTTGACTTTCTTAAGTGAGGAGTATTGACTTAACATCACACCATGTGATGGTAGCCTGCTGATGAATAATAAGAGAAAGAACGCTATTGTAGTCACGATCAAGATCGGCAAGAACAACCTTTATTAAGTCAGATAACGGAAGGGGCGGACCAACTACCCCATTTGATCGGCGTAATTCTTCATCTTGGTATGTTCATTAATTGACATAGAGCCTTTGACAGTCCGTGGTAGCTATTGCTAGTAGTTGAGAGCGTTTTCCATTGAATGATTAGCATAAACAGTCTCAAACTTCTCCTACACCTCATGGGAGTTACCGACTTTTGTGAGAATTGATTTAGTCATTGAACCAAAGAGCCATCCCAGTAATAGTTGATCGATAGTAACCTATTCCTCATATTCTGGGTTGGGATGAGTTATTGGAATATGTGCTGCCCATTTTCAGTTGTAGGTGCTGTCCAATTCTCAATTGTTAGAAATGAAGATGGACACGATTTCTCACCAAGAAGATAACCATCTAACTTATGGTCTCTAATAAGGGAAGAACCATTGATTTCCAAAGAAGATGATTGTTGCGATCCAACTTGATCACAAAAGCATGTTTAAGCGTTCTACCAAATGGTGATGAGATTGTGGGGGACTAAACTAAAAGAGATTAAATTGGAAGAGTTTCAAAAGTTGTAAAAGACATGGTTTGAGCTTGCGAAGGAGAAATGACGTTTGCCATGAGAGGCTCTGATACCAATTTAACAATAAGAAAAATGGATTGAATAATCCTCACCTTCGAGTCTCAAAGAGATAGTGCTACGTAGCAAGTCACATAGGCAGAAAGTCAACAAGAAAGGCAAATAAAGACCCATGAGGCCAAAATATGATGAAGTCAAACAAACCTAAAGTTCTTACACTACAAGGACGAAGTCCAAGCTGAGGCATTGCCTTAAAGACGAAGCTGTTTAAGGAAACAAAGAAAGGAGCCAAAGCTCTCTACTTAGAGGACCACTTTGTCCTTACACTGCAAGGACGAAGTCCAAGTTGAGGTATTGCCTCAAAGACGAAACTGCCTAAGGAAACAAAGAAAGGAGCCAAAGCTTTCAACTTAGAGGACCACTTCGAAGATTCCTCTGAGGCTGTCAACTCGCTCGAAGCTCACAAGGCTGATGCTGTTCTTTGTAATAGATTCGAATATCTCTTAGAAGTGATTGATATAACACTTGTAACAAAGTTTGTCAGTAGTTAGCCTATTGCATAGAGCGACTCACCCTTTATCAATGTATTAATTGTATGAATAGACCATGTGACGTCCCAATTAGGGAGATGAGACCACTTGGTTATGATCCAATGGTCACCATGTCGGTCAACACATGGCTACTTCTATGTATATAGATCTCAAACATGTATTTTTACAAGGATAAGATAAGGTAGAGAAAAAGATTACAACATTATCTAAACTAATCTTTAGGATCAGCTGATGATTTATCTTTACTAATAGAGAAGTACCGCCATCATCGAGAATTAAACAATTTTTTTTGGTGCCCAACATGGGAATAGTTAAAACAATATCACATGTTTTCATATACTACTGTTTGTCAAAAACCCAGTTCTTTGCCACGAATTCGTTTACAAAGTGGCCGAGTGAGGTCAATTTCTACATAGAAACGTGCTTCACTAGGCCTTATTTTATTTGTTGTAGCCCCATCCATTTTAAGGGCTTTCTAAAAAGTTGAGAAAATGAGAAAAGAAAGGATTTATCAAACGGAACATAGGGAAGCGGGGGAAGAAAAATCCATACTAGAACGAGTTGGAAGATTCTTTAGTCGGATTGAAATCTTATATACATTTGATGGCTCTCATGGAACAGCCAACAATATAACATTGTGGTTTCATGTCCATTTCCATTCCATTTCAATCCATAAGATTCGAAGACGTCTTGGTTTTTCTGTACGTAAGCTTCCCAATAAATAGGAATAACATTGGTTTCGATAGAATATTCACATCCTTAGGCGTAGTATCAATACAAAATCGATTTTGTTCATAAATTAAATGAAATTACTCAAGTAAAAAATATGTAGCATAATTAATGTCACAAACGGTCACTGAAGTTACACGAAAATAAGAAAATGGTTACTAAAGTTTAAAAATTACAGAAATGGTCACTGAAGTTTCATGCGGTTTCAAAAATGGTCACTGAACTTAGTTTTAGGACTATTATGTCTTAATTCAAACCTAAAGCACCAAAATACGTGGACAAAGAAGCTGGAGGACCTCAAGTACAAAATTCAACTTAAAATCTCCCCAAACCCAAACCCAGACCACTTTTCGCCTCCCATTCCACCACATTTTGGCCACCAAAACCACCGAACCAATGCACCATCTTGAAACCCTCACTTCCCTCTACGTAACCCACCCAAGAACTGCTCCTACCTCTGACAGTGGTGGCCGAAATTTCATCCCAAAGTGGGCCTCTCGTACAGCCAGCAGTTTTATGCTGTGTGAGAGGCCCACTTTTGGACGAAATTCCACCACTTTTCGTCCACCAAAACTATTGGACCAACATAATACCTTAAAGCCCTCGTTGTCCTCTATGCAATCCATCCAATAATCGCTCCTAAATCCACCGAAAAGTGGCTAGAATTTCGTCCCAAAATGGTGGGCTCGCACATGACAGCAATGCCAGCCGCCACTTTAGGGCCAAATTCCACCACTTTTCGGCCACCAAAACCACCGGACCAACACACCTCCTTGAAGCCCTCATTGTACTCTAAGCAACCCACCCAATAATCATTCCTAAATCTGCCAAAAAGTGGCAAGAATTGCACCCCAAAGTGGCGGCTGGCAGTTTTGCTGTGCGAGGGGCCAACTTTGGGATGAAATTTCGGCCAATTTCCAGAGGATTTAGGGATGATTCTTGAGTGGTCTACGTAGAGAGAAGTGAGGACTTCAAGGTGGTGTCTTGGTCCGGTGGTTTTGGTGGATGAAAAGTGGTGGAATTTTGTCCAAAAGTGGGCCTCTCACACAACAAAAACTGCCGGCTGTGCGAGAGGCCCACTTTGGGACGAAATTCCAACCACCACCATTGGAGGTAGGGGTGGTTTTTGGGTGGGCTACGTAGAGGAAATTGAGGGATTCAAGATGGTGTGTTGTTTCGATAGTGTTGGTGGTTGGAATGTGGTGGAAGGGGAGGCGAAAATTCATGGTCTGGGTTTAGGGTTGGGGAGATTTTAAGTTCAAATGTTCACTTGAGGTTCTCCAGCTTCTATGTCCACATGTTTTGTTGTTGTAGGTTTGAATTAAAACATAATAGTACTAAAATTAAGTTCAGTGACCATTTTTGAAATCGCATGAAATTTCAGTGACCATTTCTGCAAGTTTTAAACTTTAGTGACCGTTTTATTATTTTCGCGTAACTTCAGTGATTGTTTGTGAAATTAACCCAAAAACCCCATCTTTTTGTGAGAAAAATCGATTAAAAGAGTAGACTTACGAAACACGCTCTTAATTCTGATGTAATAAATTAAACAACATAAAAACTTAATACTGGTAATAAGAGTTATTTAATAAAATAGTTTCCACAAAACATCAAATGGAAACATGGTACTAGAATACACAAACCTAAACTATTAATGGATCAAACTTGGTCCATTCCTAAATCTTTCTTTTCTCTTTTATTGTAGGATGACCAAGTTTGCTCCATAATAGTAGGGTTCTCTTTTATCTTGGGATTTTGCCACTTTGCCAGAAAAATTTAACAAATGCAATGACATAATCCAAGGTGGCAGCATATGATTTGATGAAAAAATTGACTGTTTTTAAAACAGTCCATTGATGAAATGCCATGTTGCATTATGTCAAAGATTATGTCAAGGCATCTGACTAGCATGATTCTTTATCTTGCCCTAAATGTAGTCAAAAGTAATACATATATGGGGCTGTTATTCAAATAATAGCTAGGTGGCTCAGTTAAATTGAGGCTGTGGCCAAACAGCTGCACCACCACCGTCGGTTACATATGATAAGGACGACGAGGGCACCAAACACAGCCCTCGACTTCTAAGATCTCGCTTCGGTTCATTGTTTTCATCGTCAGTGGAAACCTGATATATATTAGGAGAGGGATACATTAATGACATAAAACTATATTAAAAAAAAAACTAACATATTATCTAATATTGTGCAGTGAAGCAGACATGCCATGAGTGGATAATAACTTGGATTGAAAAAATGTATGCATGGCTGGCTTTCGACCACTTCACAACGTAAGATTTATTTCTAATCAAGACTTAATACTATCATTAACAAATTTCAGGATAACTCTCCCATGTATATGCTTTATTTGCATTACATCAAATTGAAGCATATTTAATATTGTTAAACTTTTTTCACGTTTAATGAAAAACACGAGAGTATAAGCATCTTTGGGAGTTGTTCATAAAAAGTTTAAAGAATCATGTAACATGTATATAAAGGTTGGCACATCGATTACACCTTGGTAAGTTGATAGATTTTGTTACATTGATTTTAACAACACTTTTTTCAATACATGACCAGATTTTTGCCACATAAAGGAATGTAATCCAAGGTAAGAGAACATGTGTACAAGTAGATTAATCCTAAATTATATATAGATAAAATTGAGTAGTTGACAAGTATAATAGTTGTGGATCCTACGAAATATATAGATAAATAGTGATTTGATCGATTAAAAGTAATTTACAAAAAATAGCCAAACAAGAGCTCATAGTATGCCAAGATAACATGTCCCATTCTGTTACATCTCATAAAATTGGAATGATAGAGATGATATGCCAATCTCACATAATGTACCTATGTCCTAGGGTTTAAACAAAGGACATGATGAATATCATTAATTATAGGGCCCATTTGACATGGTTTTTGTTCTTGTTTTTGCTTCATACAGAAGAGGTTTTGGAGAAAGCTACATAACTTTTATTTGGAAACTAATTTTTAAAAGAACTTTCTACTATTTTTAGAGGAAGCCACATTTGACTAACTTTCTTTGGAAGCTCTTTTAACTACCAAAAGTTTTTTTTTTTCATAAAATCAGATAAATGGGTATAAAAACAACTTTTGGTGTTTCAAAAACTCATTTTGGATTTTCAAAAGTCATGCCAAATGGGCTCTTAATGTGAGAAGTAACAATTCTATTAAGTTTTTGTTCTCTCTTGCATTGATCCGGAATGTATAATATATCATACTCCTTGAGGGTAAAAGTGTTACTAAATTTATACGACGTGTTTTACTTTGCGTACATAAAGAGAGACATGTCTATGTGTGATGACAGGTCGAACCAAAACAAAAGGAAAGGCTATGACTAAATTTTAAGAGATTAACTACATTTAATTCCTATATTCTACCAATGGTTTATGAGAAAGAATTATTCACTTAATTTCTTACCCCTTTCATTGCTCCGCCAGTCTTGTTCCTCGATGACTTCATGTAAGGGACACTCAAAGTCTGCAATTAAACATGTCCAAATATTAGCAAAGTAAAAAACCATCATTTTTAAGGGTAAAGAATAAAATAAAAATACTGAAAACAATGTAACTTTATGACAAAATTTTGTGTAAAATTGCAAATTGTCAATTGTGGAAATATAGCAAACATTTGTTTTAGCAAAAGTTCAGAATTCAATATGGAAATTTGGTCAAGTTTTATGATCTTAATGTGAGGCTTTAATGTTAGTTGAGCTCATCTAGGCGATGATGAAATGGCCTTCGACCCAATGCTATTGCCCAAAGCCCAATACTCGGTCCAGTAATGAAACGTGTTTCGCTCATATGACTTTAGCTGTGTTTGCATTCTTGAAATCGTGAGTTTCTTTGGACCGTTGGATTGACTGTTGCCCAGTCTCAATGCGTTGATATTTTTGGTATTCAAATGGTTTTCATTCATTGTACTGTTTTCATTCTTTCTCTCGAGGGTTTTCTAGAGTCTTCAGTATACTCTCTTTCATCTTCTTCTTCTGCTGTGAAGAACTCTTGAATCTGTTTCTTGAGTGTGTTTTCTATGTAAAATCAAGTGAAAAGGAACACTATTGTTGTTGGTAACGTTGAGCTCTACTGGTCTATAGAAGAATCTGTACGTTTATTGTTAATCGTGGGGGTTCTTGGGTGGATCTGGATTTTATAGTGTTGATACTGAACGGTACAATATTCTAAACCTTTGATGTGTGATATATTGGTGTTTAGTAGTTTGGAGATAAACTTTGTGATAGGTTTTTCGAATATGTGTAATAGGTTCTTCGATCTGTAATATTTGTGATAGGTATCAGAGCCTCTCTTGGTTGATCTTGAGGCTTCGATCAAGTTTTGAAGGCTGGAAAATCAATTTTCTGTCTTCGTTCTTTGATCGCCTGAAAATTGAGAAAACCTAGTTTTGGTTTTTTTTCGATTTGAGGTTTGTGAGTACAGAGCTATGGTCTTGGTCGTGAGAGGTTTTTGGTGTGCGTGACTTCTTGGTTTGGTTTGAACAAGAAACCCTATAAATAGGGATTTCTTTGGTTCTTGATCTCCTTTGTGGTAATTTGGTGGAACACCACCCCTCTGCTGTGACCTTCGATTCCTCTTATTGCACTATGGTTTGCCTGTTGGTGGTTAATCTTGATCCACCTCACTGGTTTGCATTTTCTAACACTGAAAATACCTATCCTTGTATCTGCATATTCATTCATGCTGAGTATTTTTTGTGTAATCACCCTTGGTGTTCAAATTGTGCCTTGACCTGAGAACAAGAGTCTCACGAAATCTCGGTGAATTTGATCATTCTTGGGGTGACTACTATTGGTTCCCCTTATTATGTAACCTGATTGTGTTCTTTACTTTCTTGATTCTAAATTATGTTATTTGTTGAAATTTGTTTGTCTATTTGAGAATAACTGTGATTTCTGATTACTGTTTATTGTCTGTGACCTATTTCTCCTTTCCCTTTTGTGAATATCAATTTACTGTTTTTCTTAAGTGTATCAGCTGTCATAGTTTTAAAATTTTTGAAATACTTTGTGTTATTTTTGAATAATAAAATATGACAAATGTTTTTGAATTTGGTGTTTTTGTTGGAAAATGGGATTTTCCCATTTGGCAACAAAAGATGAAAAGTCTTTTAGTTCAACAAAAGATTTCTAAGGCAATAACACAAGAATTTCTTGAAACTATGACAACTTATCAAATAAATGAAGCTGATGAACTTGCTTATATCTCTATTATTCTGCATTTATTTGATCAAGCTTTGAGGAAAGTAGGACAACAAGAGNAGGAATGGTTCTTTAGTTTTAGGTTAGACACCTCTAAGGATATCGAAGACATTCTTGATACCTTCAATAAGTTGTTTCAAGATATCACCAATGTTGGTGATAAAGAGTATAAGACAGTTGTGTTATTAAATGACATTCCTGATACCTATAGAGAGGTTAAGGCTGTCATAAAATATGATAGAGATGCTCTAACACCTAAAATATTTATAAACTCTTTGAGAAGTAGAGAGCTTGAACTTATGGCTAAGAGAGGAAATGGTGGGCTTGAGAATATATTTGTTAGGGGAGGACTTAGAACATGTTTAGTGGAAACTAGGAAGGCTTTAATAATCAGGGAAACAATAATAAAAAAGAAGTTTAAGAGTAGGGACATGTTTAAGTCAAATACTAGAAATAAGAAATGCTATGAGAGTGGGAAAATTGGGCACTTCCACATGACTCCTAAAATTGGGCACTTTCAATTGGATCTTGGATTCTGGTTGTACCTTCCACATGACTCCTAACAGGAGTTGGTTTGACTCCTTTAAGAAGATTAATAGAGAAGAGGTGGTCATGGGAAACAACATTGCTTGCAGAGTTGAAGGCATTGGAAATATGACTTTGAAATTTGAAAATTGATATATCTTTACCATTGAAAGGGTAAGATATGTTCCTGAACTAAACAAGAACCTGATTTCAATGGGAAATTTGGATGATTTAGGTTTACAAGGTAAGGTTGGTGATGGTTTGTGAAGGTGATGAGAAGATCATTTGTGATGTTTAAAGGTGTTAAGAGAAATTGAATTTATGTAGTTAAGGCTAGTGCTGTAGTTGAATACATAGCCGGGTCTTCCAATGCTGAACTTGACGCCACTCTAAAGTGGCACAAGGGATTAGCTCATGTAGATGAAAAAGGCTTGCATATCCTTTATAAGAAATGAGTTTTTGGGAATGACTCTATATCTAGAGTTCCCTTTTATGAAAATTGCACTTTAGAGAAACAGCACAGATTACATTTTAACACTGAAAAGCATAAATCAACCTCTATTCTTGAATATATGCATTCTGATTTATGAGGGGCCTTCATCCACTATCTCTCAAGGAAGAAATATATACTTTCTTCCTTAATTGATGATTATTCTAGGAAGGTTTGGGTTTACCTGTTGAAACATAATTCTGAAACCTTTGGGAAGTGTAAGACTTGAAAAGTGTTGATAGATAATTAAACTGGAAAGAAAATTATGACTCTTAGGACTGACAATGGTCTTGAGTCTTGTAATGTTGAGTTTGATCAGTTTTGCACTAAAAATGGGATTAAGAGATATAAAACAGCTCCTTATACCCCTCTGCAAAATGGAGTAACTGAGAAGATGAATAGAACTTTGTTAGATAAGGTGAGATGCATGCTGGTTGGTTCAGATGTACCTATAACCTTATGGGGTGAAGCCTTAATGACAACCACTTACATAGTTAATAATACCCCTTTAAGTGCTCTAGGTAATAAAACACTCGAAGAGCAATGAACTAGAACAGTCCATGACTATTCACATTTGAAAAGTTTTGGATGTGCAGCCTATTCACATCAGAATATAGGAATATTAGAGCCTAGGGCTCAGAAATGTGTATTCTTGGGCTATCCTAATGGTGTTAAAGGTTATAAGATTTGGAGTAGAAAGTCTAGAGATTTTAAGATTATCACAAGTAGGTACATTATTTTTGATAAGTTTAACATGCCCTGTTCAAAAGATAATGAGCCTAATAGATTATCTGAAGAGAAAGAATGAGATAAAACCAAGCTACGGGTGGAGCTTGGTATGCCAACAGAATCTGTTGATTCTGAACAGGTTGATATTGAACTTGAAAATGCTAACCCTTTAGATGTTGGTGAAGAGGGTAAGGTTTAAGAAAATTTAGAAGAATAAGTGAGTGATGTAAGTCATTATCAATTGACAAGAGATAGAGTTAGGAGAGATATAAGAGAGCCTGTTAGGTATAGAGATTATCTATCATTTGCTTTGCTTTCTTATCAAGACCTAATCTTTAGAGAGCCAAAATATTATGAAGAGGCTATTTTCAACCAGCAATCTAAAGATTGACAGGCTGCTATGAATGATGAAATGGACCCCTTAATTAAAAATGGAACATTGACATTAGTTCCTAAACCTACAGGTAAATCACTTGTTGATTGCAAGTGAATTTTTAGTATTAAAGAGGGTAATATTGAAAAGATTCCTATAAGATTTAAGATTAGATTAGTTGTTAAAGGCTTTACACAAAAGGAAGATATAGATTATAATGAAATCTTTTCTCCTATGATTAAGTATACTACTATTAGAGTTATGTTAGCTCTTGTTGATCATTATAATCTCGAACTTGAACAAATGGATGTAAAAATTATATTTTTACATGGTGATCTTGATGAAGTGATTTATATGAAACAACCACCTGGTTTTATTGAAAAATCTAAAACTGAACATGTTTGTTTGTTGAAAAGATCTTTGTAAGGTTTGAAGCAGTATCCAAGACAATGGTACAAAAGATTTGATACTTTTGTTTCTTGTGTTGGTTTTGTAAGAAGTGGGTTTGATCATTGTTTGTATTTTAAAAGAGATAATGCAAATGCTATCGTTGCTTTTATAATCTTATATATGGATGATATGCTTTTAATTGGACATAACATGTATGTCATAAATGAGATTAAAAGATCTTTGAGTGCTGAATTTGAAATGAAAGACCTTGGACATGCTAAGAAAATATTAAGCCTGGAAATAACTAGGAAAATGCATAACAGGTTATTGACTTTGAAGCAAACTGCCTATGTGGAAAAATTGGTAACTAGATTTGCTATGCAACAAAAGATTTGATACTTTTGTTTCTTGTGTTGGTTTTGTAAGAAGTGGGTTTGATCATTGTTTGTATTTTAAAAGAGATAATGCAAATGCTATCGTTGCTTTTATACTTTTATGTGTGGATGATATGCTTCTAATTGGACATTACATGTATGTCATAAATGAGATTAAAAGATCTTTGAGTGCTGAATTTGAAATGAAAGACATTGGACATGCTAAGAAAATATTAAGGATGGAAATAACTAGGAAAATGCATAACAGGTTATTGACTTTGAAGCAAACTGTCTATGTGGAAAAATTGGCAACTAGATTTGCTATGCATAATTCAAAATTTGTTTCTGTACCTCAGGCCAGTCATTTTAAATTGAGTAAGGATCAGTCTTCTGATAATGAATCTGAGATTAAACAAATGGAAAAGATACCTTATGCTAATGCCGTAAGATCTGTGATGTATATCATGGTTTGTACTAGGCATGATGTGACTCATTCTATTAGTACCCTTAGTAGATTCATGGCTAATCCTGGTTTAGAACATTGGCCTATTTTAAAATGGCTGTTGAGATATTTGAAAGGTTCTTTACACTTAAGACTTTGTTTTAGTGTCTGTAATGATGGAATAGTGCGTAAAGGATTTCTAGATTCTAATTTTGTTGGAAATATTGACAATGGGAAGTCTACTACAACTTATTTGTGTGGTACTTGTATCAGTTGGAGATTCCAAGTACAACCTATTATAGCTTTTATCTACCATTGAGGCTGAATATGTTGTTGCAACTGAGGCAATAAAAGAAGTTTTGTGGCTTAAAGGTTTGTTGTTTGAAATTAATGAGCTATCTACTCGTGTTGTATTATATTTTGACAGTCAGAGTGTTGTACATTTGATGTTAAGTTTCATTTTATTAGAGACATTGTATCTAAAGATGTTTTACTTCTTGAGAAAACTGCTTCTCAATTTAATCCTGCTGATATGGGTATAAAGGTATTGTCTCTAACCAAATTTAAGTTTTGTTTACAAATGTTGAACATTGATACTGGGTAAATTGATTGATGCAGGTACTAATCCTAATCTTGATGCTTTGAGGAGAGTTCATAGAAGCTGTGGCCAAAAAGGAGAAACTTGAAAAGAGCATTAAGATGCCTGATAAACCACTGGCATTAAAGTGGAGATTGTGAGGCTGTGATGCCAATCTAGCCAATCCAGGCAATGATGAAATGGTCTTCGGCCCAATGCTATGGCCCAATAATTCAGCTTAAGTAAACCCAGTGAAGCCCAAGCCTAATACTCGGTCAGGTAAGGAACGTGTTTGGCTAACATGACTTTAGTTGTGTTTGCATTCTTGAAAGCGTGAGTTTCTCTGTACCATTGGATTGATTGTTGCCCAATCTCAATGCGTTGATATTTTTGGTATTCGAACTGTTTTCAATCATTCTACTGTTTTTATTCTTTCTCTCGGGGGTTTTTTAGAGTCTTTTGTATTCTCTCTTTTCATCATCTTCTTCTTCTGCTATGAGGAACTCTTGAATCTATTTTTTGAGTGTGTTTTATGTGTGAAATCAAGTGAAATGGAACAATGTTATTGTTGGTAACGTTGAGCTCTTCTGGTCTATAGAAGAAGCTGCACATTTACCGTGAATCGTGAGAGTTCTTGGGTGAACCTGGGTTTTACAGTGTTAATACTAAAGAGTACAATATTCTGATCCTTCGATTTGTGATACATTGGTGTTCAGTGGTTAGGAGATAAGCTTTGTAATAGGTTTTTGGAATCTGTATAATAGGTTCTTCGATCTGTAATATTTGAGTTTGAGTTTTGTATAACACCTAGGTTGGTAAGATTTGTCTTCAAGGCCTAAATGGTGGGTACAAAAAAATTAACTTTAATTCCTGGAAAGTTGTTAATTTTTTTTGTAATATAAAGTTCAATGCACGCAATTAAGCTAATTTTTGGACAAGTCCCCACAAATAAGTCAATTATCAATTAAGTTTTCAACTACTTTAGTCAAAAATGCCCTAAAGTGTAAATAAAGTTTCCGAATTTCCTCAAGGAATAAAAAAATTGAGACAACTTTTGTCTAGTTTCAAAATGTTTTGTAGAGTTTCCGAAACACAAATCCTAGAACTTTAGAAGGAGATTGTGAGGCTGTGATGCCAGTCCAGCCCATCCAGGCAATGATGAAATGGTTTTCGGCCTAATGCTATTGCCCAATAACTCAGTTTAAGTAAACCTAGTGAAACCCAAGCCTAATACTCGATCAGGTAATGAACGTGTTTGGCTAACACGACTTTAGTTGTGTTTGCATTCTTGAAAAGCGTGAGTTTCTCTGTACCGTTGGATTGATTGTTGCCCAATCTCAATGCGTTGATATTTTTGGTATTCAAACGGTTTTCATTCATTCTACTATTTTTATTCTTTCTCTCGGGGTTTTCTAGAGTCTTTTGTATTCTCTCTTTTCATCATCTTCTTCTTCTGCTATGAGGAACTCTTGAATCTATTTTTTGAGTGTGTTTTATGTGTGAAATCAAGTGAAATGGAACACTGTTATTGTTGGTAACGTTGAGCTCTTCTGGTCTATAGAAGAAGTTGCACGTTTACCGTGAATCGTGAGAGTTCTTGGGTGAACCTGGGTTTTACAGTGTTAATACTAAAGGGTACAATATTCTGATATCCTTCGATTTGTGATACATTGGTGTTCAGTGGTTAGGAGATAAGCTTTGTAATAGGTTTTTGGAATCTGTATAATAGGTTCTTCGATCTGTAATATTTGAGTTTGAGTTTTGTATTACACTTAGGTTGGTAAGATTTGTCTTCAAGGCCTAAATGGTGGGAACAAAAAAATTAACTTTAATTCCTGAAAAGTTGTTAATTTTTTTTGTAATATAAAGTTCAATGCACGCAATTAAGCTAATTTTTGGACAAGTCCCCACAAATAAGTCAATTATCAATTGAGTTTTCAACTACTTTAGTCAAAAATGCCCTGAAGTGTAAACAAAGTTTCCGAATTTCCTCTAAGGAATAAAAAAATTAAGACAACTTTTGTCTAGTTTCAAAATGTTTTGTAGAGTTTCAGAAACACAAATCCTAGAACTTTAGAAGTTTACATGCGATCTTAGTCTATCAAAGATAGTAAAAATTCATTTATTTATATTTTATCTTCCGTAATCATAACCTAATCTTCTTTTGTTTATATCTTTTTCTACAGAGCAACTTAGGAGATTTACCCGGGCACAGTTTTTATCGCGGTGCACAGCTTTTATACAACAAATGAGACAAAAACATGAGTTTAATAGAACAAAATCCAAGAAGAATGTTTTACCTCGACTTGGGTTTGAAGGAATTTGATATAACCAATGGCCTCCATAAGTACGGATGCTGTGTCTGTCTGTAATATTCTCCACCCGCATGCAACATTAATTTATGCACTATTAGTAATTAATTACTTTAACAAAAATTAACTGTAAAGTAATGTCCTAAGCATGCAGGTTATTCTGCTCGTTTTTCTGTAAAAATTAACTGTACACCAGGCATTATGGTTTTTAGATACTGTGACTGGGGAACATGCACACTAAAGTCTCAGTATTCATTTACCATATGTAGAACATGTTTGCTTGATTTTAAAAGTTGCTTTTTTGAAAAGTAATTTAGCATCTTTTGACAAATTTATAAATAATCAAAAGATCATAGTGAATCCACAAAATCTGTGGAAGATAAATTATAAATTTGTTCTTGAATTTGATTTTGACTTTAACTGAATTTATAAATCATTTACAAATTTGTATCCAAACACAGAGTTAAGAATTACTTTTAAAGAAAGCAAATTTTGTTAACTTAAAAAGTAACTTCAGAGATTAAAGCTTAGCCTACTTTAAGAACAACAAAACATGCATGCTTATGGATCATAGGTATGAGTAACTATTCAAGGGAATCTATTAAGTTACAGGTGTAAAGTTGAATTACACAATCTACAATTTAAGTTTTTATAAAGGAGAATAATTTATGTATTTAAAACTTGACTTCAACATCTACCAAAGGTGGAGATTGGGTTTATTTTTTCATCATATGTTTGATGTGTGCTTAAAGTGAGCTCTTTATCTAAGATCACTTTTTCTGTTTGACTTCTAATTAAATTTTGTTTAATCACTTAAATCTTCCTTTCATTTTTGAAGTGAAGAATTTGTTCAATAGGAAGAAGCAATTTGTCTTCATGAATCATCTTAGGGTGGGCTATGAAGGAAGAATTTCAATACCAAGAGCTCTATGAGACAAAAATCACAATATATGGTAGCTTTACATAAGGACCATGTTTGACTGTTAATTAGTGTATTATAAGGATTAATATTAACCTTTTCATATTCATCTCAAACAATATGGTGAATCGAAATTTCCATTTGAAAATATAATCGAGGACGTTTATATTTGTCAAATACATGCACATATGACGGCGTAAACCTACATAAAATTTCTTGAATTGGAAAAAAAAAAAAACCATGTTAGGCTGAATTTAAGGTTGAAGACAAGATTCAAGGTAGGAGTTATCAATTATGATGAATTAAAAAATTCTGATTTAAAAAAAAAAAAATCCAAAATTACCTTTCCAAAAGGTGCTACTAACTGCTGAAGGGCAGCAATTCTATCTCCCAATTTCTCTTTTCTAACCTGATAAATTCAGTTCAAGAAAGTCATGGGAAAAATGATTAAACTGAGATTAATTATTAAAGACAGCTAATTGATTATATTTAAATGAATTCTAATTAATTAATAATTCATTAGATGAACCTTAAAGAATAATGCTACAAAGAATCAATGTGCTGCTCCTTAGTTTATAAAGGATTCCGCGTACCTTAAATGGTGGGCAAGAAGCGCGTGGTTCTATACGCGATTTTTTGGGTGCCTTTGGCTCCAATATACTGCTGCTTCGTTTTGCTTCTGCAACTCCATTGCTTAAGGTTGATATCTTTAGAATCCAGAAAAAGCAAAATTCATCAGAACAATAATGGCTATCTTGTCAAAATCCATTAAAAAAAAAGACTCGACTTTTCTGAAAATAAATTTGTATAATTATGTAAAGTAGTATACAAATGCATAAAGCTGAAGTTGCCTTTAAATGGAGAAAAGGGAAGGCTTTCCTTTTTGTATAACAATCTATTTGAAAGGAGAAAAAGACAAGCAAAAAGGGTTGTATTTTTTTTTCCAAACAAAAATAGGGAAAAATATTAAAATCTCAGAAGAAAAACACTTTCTGTGGCTATGCTTTTATCCCAGGTACTGTTTTGGATATTTCTAACGCAGTTTCATCTCATGTATAAGATCTTAGCGTAACTAGGAAGTAATTATAATTCACAGTAAGTTCTCGTTAACGAAGAATGGAGAAAAAGGAGGAAAGTCCAAACCTTATTAGAGCAATTCACTGGCAGTTGGCTTGATTGCTGCATATAATCAAGGCCATAACAAAGACCTTCTTTGCAAAGGTCTAATCCGTTCTGCGAATTTGAGCTCATAAAATTTCCATGAAATTTTGAATCTGTAAGGAGATCTAGTGCCTGCAAGTTCATGTCCATATTGGCTGAATTTTCTAATTGCGCCGACTGCAGATTAAAATTGGAAACATTTATGCTGGGAAATATCTGACTGGAACCCCTTCCACTCTGTGTTGATCCATTAATTCCTGTGCTTAAAGAGTTGGAGTACAAATTTTGTGGAGAAATATTCTGCCCACTCACAAGATTTCCAGAATAAAATGTTCTAAGCAGAAGCTTTGCGCTGAGATCGTTAAATGGAAAATCTCTTAGCTCATTATTCTTGCCGTGGCTTGAAGGATTCACACAAAAATCTTCAATACTTGATGATTGGCTGTTTAAAATCCCTGTGAATTTAGGGTTAAAATTATCTGAAAATTCTTCCTTAATTCTACCAGATTGTAAATTTCCTGTAGGATTAGCCCAATGAAATAATCCCATTTCTGGAGTCATGGAAATATTCCAGGAAGAGAGTGAATTCTGGTTTTGCTGCGCCTGCGTTGTATTTATAATGCCTCCATTAGGGTATGAACTGATGATATCTGAGTTTCTGCAAAATCAGTTATGGTAATCACTTGTATTTCAAGCCGAAGCAATCCAATCTAAAACTTTGAATATTGCATGTTAGGCGTGTAGATTAACAATATTAAGCAATATTACAAAAGAAAATTAGTAGAAACTTTGTTCATTCGACTATTGTTAGTACTGTATCAAACATGCACTAAAATTTCAAACGAACCACCGGAACTCGAAATTTTTAAACAAGAAGCTGCAAGCATATTTTGTGATTGATGCACATCAAATCACACAGGAATATAAGTAAAGAAAGGAGAAGATACCAACTACTAAAGAACAATAATACTAAATCATAATGATTCTGCAGCAAGTATAGCTAAACAAGAATTATTATAGATAGATCTACTTGTTTATCTAAAAAGCCCAGTTGAGGATTTTTTTGGTTAAAGTTCCTAGTTGAGAGAGACAGACTTACAAAATGGTGGTAGGGGTCCAAGAATGAGCGCTTGCAACTTCATAGCAAGAAGAAGCAGCTAAAGAAGAAGAGCCAACAAGTTGATGATGATCTTGAGGATGATGTTTTTTTGGTCGATGAATATTTGCAGACTCCATAATAATATGATAATTTCTTAAACACACTTGAAAATCCCAAGATCAATAATTAAAAACAAAACCTAATCGCTCTCTATATTTCCCCTCTTTCTCTCTCTATAGATTGAAAGCAATAGTATTTCAGGTGACACCCACAAAACACACAATTCTCCTCTTTTAGCACCTTTTCATATGCAGTTTCCTCTTTACTCTTTAAATCTTTTGCCTTAAAGCATCCTTGAAATGAAAGGAAGAGAGAACATATATCAATGGCTAAACCCTTCTCTTCGGCCCTCAAATAATCAATTTTGTTTTTTTTTTTAATTTTCTTCTTCTGTAAAAGCTTTTTGTATATAAACTAAATAATACTCTCTCTCTCTCTCTCTCTCTCTGGACTCTGCAATCACAGAAAGATCATTATAGTTCCTCTATGCCATGATTAAGATCCCTGCCTTAGATCCCAAGGCTTTCGACAAAAGTCTGTGGAGAGAAATGATGCAGCCATGCGGGCTCTCTCTCTCTCTCTCTCTCTCTCTCTCTCTCTCTCTCTCTCTCTCTCTCTCTCTCTATATCTATATATTTTTTTTCTCTCTCTACTCTGTATCTCTCTCTCTCTCTTATATCCACATATTGGTAGTCTTTATATTTGTATTCGGGGTATATCTGTTTGGCTATGTTCTTTCCTGTGGTCCAATAAATATGATTATTTCTTCTAAGGTTATATAGAGAGGAATAATGCTCAATCCAATAAAGGAAAATGATGAAAATGAAGGTAGGGACAGTAGGATTATTTCACCTTAAATAACTCAAAATGTGAGAAGAAATTATTTGCTCATTAAGCCAATGTAAATCATTATAATCTTGTCTCTTTGTTGGTTAATATGCATTAGCCCAAAAGAAAAATAAAAAAGATAGAGAAAAGTCACTCTTTACAATGATTTTGGATAGATCATTTGTCTTTACACTACTACAAAGTCATTTTTTACTATCAATGATCACGAAGGCAAATTGAATCGTTTTACCCATTGCAAATTACCCACAAGGTTTTAATTCTATCACTAACTATCAATGCCTTGGATTTCATCTAATGAAAATTTTACGTTGTGTTTGTAATTGAAGGCACTTTTATTTGGTTTTGATTTAATCAAGCTATAAAATTAGTAGAACAAAGCTATAAGATCCTTTTGTTTAGAGAGACTGTATTGTAGTTCGCCTAGATGAATAGCTAGCATTGAGGTATCGCAAAAGGCTACAATAGGAGGATGGCAATGATGATAAGGGATTGGAGGATGCTCGGGGCGGTGGTAATTAATTAAGGGTGGTGATGGGTGAAAAGAGTGATGGTTGTGTTGAACGACGTGGTGATAGCAACAACAGTAGTGAAGTAGACGATGAGCTCCACATGGTGTGGATATAAAAACAACATTTTCTCAATTAGTTGGGAGGACATAAATGTTATTCTAAAGTTTAGTCACAATAATTCATGTATATTGTCGCTCTCTTTAGTTTTATTAACCAATAAATAGAAAAATAAATTAAAATCATTATATAATTTTAAACTACTTTATAATTGCTTCTTTAAAATCACAACTTAAGGCTTAACACCAAAATTGATAATTTGGAATAGGATTACTGGGCAATGATATATACATACCCAAAAAACTAAAATCTTGTTAGTATAAAAATCTTCTAAGTTCAAATAATCATAAATATTACTTCTAATGTTGCTATCAGCTAAAATATTTTAAAGATATTTGGGAAGTGTTTATAAAGAATTTAATTAATAAATAGATAAAAATGAATAAGTGAATACTACTTATTCGTCCAACCAAATGTGTAATCAATTGTTTTTACCTTATATATATTTTTATTATGAAAACAATGTAAAAGGCATATTATATAGACATAACAAAGTACAAGAAGAATAAACAAAAATACATGAAAACTTAAAAAGGGGACCAGCGAAATAATCCACATTACATACATAAAGGACAACATAGGTAGCCCACACCATATAAGGACGTCCATTGGATTAAAACGTGATGTCTATTTGACATTTCTATGACGTCATCATTCTCTTGAGGTAATGTGTATGCGTGGATCAAGTTTTTGAACGCTTTTCACCAAGATCATTTCATTTATAGCATCTCCAATACTGTACAAAATATATTTAAATTGTGATTTAAATCTTCACAATGATCGATAACCGCTACAATAAAGAGATGCAAAGGAAGTGCAAATTACATTTTTCAGTAGAAAAGAAAATAAAATAAAAAACTACATCCATAAGAGGCAAAAGGATTTAAATATTTCCATTTGAGCAAATTTTGAATTTAGATGCATCGCGATGTAAGTGAGGATACAAAAGTAGTTTTAAAGATACTATAAGTAGTAATTTTGATCATGGTTGTTAAGATCTTACTATTCTATGATATCAAATGATAATACGATCTAATCGTGTTACTGGATTCTAATAACCTTGTATTTTATTTGTCATTATGGACTTTTGATCTCCATTTTTATATGAATTAAATAGCCTAGATTGTTGTGCAGTTGATACGGTTTTCTTCAACCATCCATGGCCGATCATCTTGGCGATGAAGAGCTCTTTCGACCCACTTTTCCATCCAAGCCTCTTGATCAGCATCTTCCACAACGATCAGATGCATCTGCAGCGGCTATTGTTATGTCGCATCTTGAGATGGGGGGACGACTGAACCTGATGTCATCCCTAAAAAAGGGCATGTAGTCTCTATAATCTTGTGATAGCAACAACTCAACATGTGTCCATTCTTGCTAATTGGACATGTAATACTAACGAAGCGAGACTAGCCTTGGCAGTTAGCCAACGATATATGTAGTAAGTTGTAGACGGTTTAGAACTTGGACTCCTGAAGGTTGATTTTTCTAGGCTGGATATCATCAATAAGTAATAAAGAGTGAATAAAAGATTATTCTAGTACGACCGTGTATTCAATTAGATTACAATTAATATTTAATTTGACTGAAATCACACAATTTTGCTGAGATTGGAAAGTACCATTTAAATTATATGACTATCAAACTTTTAACTAAAGTATGAGGAATTTATAAAAAGTCAATTAATTAAAAGAAGTAGGACCTGATTCTTGATACAGTCTTATAAGTAAAGAATATCTAACAGTTTTAACATGTGGCAAACAGCTCTAGTATCCACTCTCCATTCTTTAGTATATTACCTACTAAGTTGCATTCAAAAACTATAAAGAATGAAACTTAAATACTATCTCATCAGCACATCATCAAGGCCCCGTTTGGCTTGCTTACCTTCTCTTTCTTTGTTGTCATTTTCTGTTGTACCGGTTTCAGTGGAGCTGCCATCTTGTTGTAAAATAGATTCCAACATTCCCCTTAATTCATGGATCTTGCTGTATAATTCTAGAACATTCCTTGTAATCTATATATAGCATGAAACCAAATAAATACAATGAGCAAGCAATTACAATTCAACTGTATCTACTTTTCTAAGTTGGTTTCAGAGCAGGCTACCATGGCCAACGCTAGCAGCACACCCCAGAATGTTAAACCAACCCAGTTCCAGTTTTCAGCTCAAGCAGCATCGTTGCTCCACTGCAAGGAAGCAACCATCTCTCCCACTTCGGTGTAAATCTAACGTAGACAGCCTCCATTAAGCTTGACAAAAACAACTATCTGTTGTGGCAAAACATGATTCTTCCTATCATCCGGGGACATGAACTTGAAGGCTACACCCTGGGGACAAAGATGTGTCCACCGCAAATCAAGTCACTGGTGATGTAGGAACCAGCATTGAGATGACAAAAAATCTTGAGTATGAGAAATGGATGTCAACCGATTAATTGCTAGTGAGGTGGCTCTATTCTGCCATGACTCCTGACATAGTTATGAGAGTCATGGGAGCCAATAACTCCAAAAAACTTTGGACTGCCGTGAAGGAAAGTTATGGAGTCCAAAACAGATCCAGAATTACCTTCCTAACTGGTGAACTTCAAAAGTCAAGGAAAGGAACCTTAAGGATTGATCAATACTTGAACAAAGTTAAGTTGCTTGCAGACAATCTGGAGATTGCTGGGAAAGCTGTTCCTCACTCTGATCTTGTTACTCAAGTCTAAGCAGGTTTGGATGAAAAGTACACACCAATCGTTATCCAAATTAACAGTAGATATCATATCACCTCGGGAGAACTGCAATAAACTCTTATGACCTTCGAAAGTAGGCTAGACCACCTCAACTCAGTTAGGAATGAAATGGCATGAATCGACCTTGATCAACCGTCTATCAATTTCTCTCAAAGAGTAGGTTACAATCGTCACCATGCTAAATCCTACAGATCAAATTCTGGGGGAAGGTTCTCAAACTACAATAACTTCAGAGGTGGAAGAAGAGGTAAATTCAGAGGAGAAAACTTGAGGAGCAGCATTGACAGGCCAATATGTCAAGTATGTAGGAAAATGGGACATAAGGCCAACATTTGTGACTACAGATATGATGAAAGATACTCAGGTTCTTCACCCAGTCAAAGGACCTTCTATAGCCCCTCACCAATAGTACTTGTTGCATCATCAAACACCGAAAGTGATCCTACTTCGTTTGTTGATACGGGTGCCAACAATGACATAATAGCAGATAAGGAAATCTCACCTTAGTAAATGAATACATTGGTAAGGAAAAAATCATGGTTGGAAATGGTAATAAACTTCACATCTCACATTTTGGTTTCACTCACATTCCCACCTTGAATGACAAAATGCTTGTGTTAAATAAACTTCTACATGTGCCTGAAATTAAGAAAAATCTTGTTAGTGTTTCACAACTGACTACTAATAATCAAGTATACATGAAATCCACTTCTAGCTTTAAATACTACGTGACCTTTCTAGATGACTTCAATAGATTCACCTGGATATATCCATTAAGACAGAATTCTAAGGTATTGAACTTGTTTATTCAATTCAAAAAATTGGTTGAGAACAAATTCTCCAGTAAGATCAGAACCTTGAAAT